TTTTTCAGGCTGTTTGGGCCGTGTTCCGAAGGTTGTTCTTCCTAACGTTTTGCCAGTCTCTGTGGCCAGCATCTTCAGAGGACAGGAGTCAGAACTCTGTCTGTGCTCTGGGTTCAGTTTGCTTGGAAAGCCTTCGAGAATACATTGAAATGTGGCTTGATTCAGCTTTGAACATTTCCCAAAGATCAGCAAGCCTCTCCTCTCCCCAGGCTCATTTGTAGATAGCAGGGGCCTTCATTTTGAAGTCACAGGCAGGAATTGCCTCTCCTGTTTGCCTCTGATGCAATAACAAAACACAGCAGATCATTATAAACGTAGGCCTTGGGCACAATAAAACCTACGCTTATAAGATGAAAGACCTACAGTTTTGTTTGGTTTGGTTTCTGGTCAATTGCAGAACTGACCTTGCTTATGGACGAAATTCGTGAATTTCTTTCAAGGTGTTTTGAGTGACTACGAGTGCCTGTGGTGGTCATGAAACAAACTCAGTTTGTTAGAGGGGATCTATTCAGGAGGGCGGGGGAAATCATTTCAAATTGTGTCAGGACTTGCTCAGATGGAAAATCTTGACTGTTATTAGAGTGCACTGCATCATGATCTAGCAAAGTAGCAGCACGGAGCATCTTATCCATTTTCAGCCTTTAGACCGGGGATAGATGATAGTTGTCTGTAGCCCTCTAAGGCTATTTGCATCCCAATCACAAAACAAATTGCAAAGGGAAAATTATTCTTGGAATACTGCATATATAGTGTGTGGTTTTGGATTTCTGTTGTTGTTGTTTTGCAAGAAAACAGGTAGCAGATTCTACTCCCACCTCTTCCCCAAACTCACAAAAATGAAATAGGAGGTTGAATCTGAGTAGCTTCTGGATTCCATTTCTTTCCTGCATTTTGTTCATCTGGGAGGCTGGTGTGGGCCCACTTGCATCCTGGGTGTTAAAAACTGGTTTCCCCAAAGTCACCCACCTCCAGTTTCTTCATTTGGCCTGCTTGAGTGGGAAAGGTCAAAGACTGCCTCATTCCTCGAGACTGTTCTGAACAAGAACAGTCTTCCTGTTTTTTTCAGTAGTTGAGTTACGTACTGCATATCGGACTCTGGATAATTCCAGGCTGCCAGACCCCGGCCACCTCATCTCCTACCTAAGTGTCAATCCCGATATATTGCTAATAAGATATACTTCCATCCAAAGTAAAGCTTGCTCTCTGTCAGCTTGAGAGCCAAAGAAAATAGGCTAATTTCGTGGCAAGGGATGCAAATTTTGATTTATTGATAAACAACAATCAAATATGTTTCTCCATGACTTGAACTGTGGCAAGAGGGCAAATGTGGAGTGAGGAGTTCAGCCTCAGTTGAAATGTATGTACTTTCAGGAGTATTATTTTGGTGGTATTTTAGTAAATGTGCAGTATTAGGAAATCTGGTCATGGAATAAAGCTTGTTCCGTGAACTAGTAAAAGCACCTAATGAGTTGTTTGTGTCTTTGTGATCAATCACCCTTGCGTTCTTGCACATGTAAAAATTCTCAATGAGAATGAGATAAATTATCTTGCCACTACACACGAGAGAGAGAGACAGACAGAGACAGAGAGAAAGAGACAGAGACAGAGAGACAGAGAGAGTACTTGCTCATTCCTTCATATGGGAATGAGCCAAGCAATGATTTATGTATCCAGTCCCCAGAATGCAGTATAATCCAAAAAAAATTAAAAGTGAAAAAAAGAAATAAGAATAAAAATAATTAGTTTATTTGAAACAGTTGCAGTTGTTGTCAAACTGCAATCCTCCTCCTCCTTCTAAACATTAAAGAAGCTTAATTTCTTCTTAATATTTTAAATAGCCTCCATTCTCCTTTCAATAGTTAAAGGTTTAATCTTCTGAAAAACATCCAAAGAATTTCCTTTTTAAATCCTTTTTTCTCACTATGATTGTTTTAATATTACTGCCAGGACTGCCATATTTTCATATTTTGCATTTTCCAAACTCATTTTCATGGAGGGTTTTTATGGTTTTTGGGGGGTGCCTTTTAGAGAGGAGGATATCCTCCATCAGCTTCAAAAACAGAATAGAAACAACAGCCCCCTTGCATTCAAGCTTGGAAGGCAGGTTTGGGGGATGACATTTGCATTTGCAGTGTTGACTTCAGGAACACACCATATACCACATGAGACTTTGCCTTTCATGTTCAGCTATAGATCCGGCTTTTATACAGCTCAATTTAATGTTAATTTATTAGCACAGCAGGTCAAATACTCTGTATCTCCATGGAAAATGAAGGGATCATCATCATCTTAAAACTGAAGAGCTGGAAGGGACCCTCTGGATCATCAAGTCCACCCCCTGTCAAGGAGGCACGGGGGGGGAATTGAACCCCCAACCTCTGGATCTGCAGCCAGAGACCTAGAGACCTTCTGAAAAGCCTTGGACAATGTGAGCCATGTTCTTGTTATAATCCCGTCAAGTTGCTTCCAACTTATGGCGACCTTAAAAATTCACAACCTCCAAAAGGTCTTCTCATTAACAGCCAAGCTCAGCTCTTGCAGGTTTGAAGTCATGGTTTATTTGGATGTTAAACTGGACAGGACCAATGGCTCAGTTCATTAAAAGGTAGCACTACGTAACTGCTCGTCTACATATGCTTCTCTCTTTAATTCCTTGGGCCAATGCAGCAAAACCTTTCTATACTGGTCATTTAAAGGTTTGTTTGGTGGGGTCACCTTGAATGTTAAGACACTCTCATTGCTCTTGGATGTTGAGCTTCAGAAATTTTTATATTTTGCTTAAACTCATTATCAATCCAAGGTTTATGGGCTCTCCCCTAATCAAGGAATCCAGACATCTGATTGCTGAGGGCCAGGAGTCACTTTAAAAGACAACAAAGGTGCCAGAACATCTGTCCTGATGAAATTATTTCCTACAAAACCTCTGTACTGTGAAAAACATAATAAAATAAGATTGTAATCTTAAAATGATTGGTTGTCCAGAGTGATACAGTTTCATATTACATCTGATAGTAGTGAAGTATAAGAGCATTGTTTACACATAAAAATAACAACAGGACTTATTGTCATCCCTAGATAGGAATCTGATTAAAAGATTGCCTCAAATGATGCTGGTTCTAGCTCTTGGGAAGAACTTGGGCAAAGATGATACTCTTCTCCAGTCCCTTTTCTTCTCCATCAAGGCTACTGATGCCCATTGGCTTGCCTCAATGGGCCCAACTCAAACCACTTCCAAGAAGGGCAGGATAAGACACAAGGGGTGTGGGGTGCTTGGTGCTTCTTCCTGAGTCCTCTCCTTCCTTCTTCCCTTCCTCACAGCGAAAGGGAGATAAACAGGTAGCAGCAGTGAGGTGCAACAACAGAAGCTGGAGGCACTAAGTGTTGGCCTTTAGTTGACATCAGTCCTACTCAATGTGACCAGTCAGAAAGAATTGATGAAGCTGTATTGCAAAGAATCTTGAGGGGCACAACTACTCTGTCAATGGCAATGGTTCCTGTATTGTGGTATGGTCCCTAGGAGGTGCAACAGGATTCCAACCTCAGACACTTCTCCTGGTCTTCACAATAATGATTTCAATCCAGACATACCCCCCTGCTGGGGAAAGACTCAGAAGCTGCTGTTTTTAATCCTCCTTTCCATTAAAAAAAAGAGCAAACAATAAAAGCCCAAGAAGTAAGCCAAGAAGATTATTGCTATCTGATATGAAAACATTATATTTTCCTGAAAGCATGTCACTGTCTTACTGCTCAAACAGACATATAAAAATTGCATTGCCCAAAGTCGATATAGCCACAATGACATCTGACCTCCGGTAGAAGGAGGAAGAGGAGGAGAAATGGGGGTGGTGGTCTTCCTATCTCACCTCCTCTCACTTGTCCCACTTTCACCTAATGATCCCTCAATCAACTTGCAACCAAAACTGTGCTCATCTTTTGATCAACGATCATCGAACAAAACCAAATTCACAATAGCTATTGCTCAGAAACCTCACGTTATAATAAACAAACAGAATGAACCTCTTTAAAAAGCTCTGTTTCTATGCACAGGTTCAGTGTAACATCTGTTTTGCTCCTAAGACAAAGTCTCATGACATCTTTAGTACATACATTTTTAAACAATTAGAACAGATTGTGTGTACTGTCTCACAAGAAGCATTTAAGCTAAATTTAATATTCTCTGCAACTCCAGACCACTGTTGTGCTGCCTTGCATGAATCATGCTCCAAAATATTAATAGAGAGAGAGATGCTTATAAGGATCAAGAAATCAGGTAAGAAATTAATAATGTACCAGGTTTTTCACATTAAGGAGTGCCCATGAAGTCAACTGAATGGCCAGGGTGTCTTTCTCTTTGCAAAGACAGGCTTCATGCATCTTTAGAACATCTACACTGGTTTTCAGGGAAATGTTGTTTATCACTGTTAGATTTTTATAACAGTCACATTTTTTCCTAAAGATCATCCCAATTAAAAATATGAGTACTCATCACACAAGAAAGTACATCAACCACATTTGAAAATTCAAAGACGAAATGAGCCTGGATACACATGCTTATATTTATCTCTATGTCTAGGTGTACGTTTGTGTGTACGTTGTGATTCTAAGTAAACTTAACAAGCTTTAGGGTTTTACTAACTATATTCATTGGTTGTTGTAGGTTTTTCGGGCTGTTTGGCCGTGTTCTGGAGGTTTTTTCTTCCTAACATTTCACCAGTCTCTGTGGCCGGCATCTTCAGAAGACAGGAGTGGCTTCATTCTTCTACCTATAATCGCTCTTGAGCATCATTCTTTACACTTCCTGTGATGTAAACGGTGTGCGTCCCTCATAATGAACCATTAGACATGTTGGGCTAGAACACAACTTGTCCGAAACTGCTAAAACTGTTCTAGCCCAGCATAATCTGTACAGTAGACATAGTTCTTCAGCAGAAAAAAAAACATATTATGAAATTACCAGAATTATTCTATTAACTGATGTAGTATGTCTGAACTTAACCTACCTGTAGGAGACCCTTCCATGATGTGCCCAACGTATGGCCCTTCCCGGAAAAGTGGCCGGTTGTCGTTCTGGTCAATAACAACGATGTCTAAAGGCTCGGGGCCTTCTATGCTTTTCCCGCTGGCATCGGTGATCTCCACCTGGAGCTGGATAAACAAAAAGAAAAAGGATGCAGGTGACTCCTGTGGATGCTATGGAGACATCAAACAAAGGAAAGAGGAAAAGGAGAGTTGAAATCAGCATTTTTCTTCCATAACAAGAATAGCGGCAAAGTTAACAGTTGAGCTGGCTGAGCTTGATGCTAAAGGTAGGATGCTTGTGAGAGCATGAAGCAATTGAGGAGGGGAAGGCGGGGGGAGGAGAGTTCATGCCGAGATCCCTGTTGGGCACTTGCGACTGAATTTGCCAAATCTGCTGGAGGTGGCAATGAGGAACAATGGGGATGAGGGAAAGAAAACACAATTTGATGCTAATGAAGTGCATATTTGCTTAGAATAAGTTTTTTTTCCCCCTCTCCTTCTACTTCAAGCATAATTACACTTAAGGGGAACATACTGAGCCACAGAATGAAATGCAAGGTAAGCCATTGCTGGGCACTGAGTTGCGGAAATAAGACTGTTAGGAGGGGGGGGGGAAATAAGAAGAAAAGAACCACGGTAAACAACATTCTCCGATGTATTGTATCCTGATCTGTTTGATTTCCCTGTGGAAGAATATCACAATACCGGTCACCAGACAGTAACGGATCAGCTCAGCACAACAGGCAAACAGGGCAATACCTAGTAAGAGATCACTCCTCTGCTAATCCTTAAAAATGCATATGAAAACAACTTCTGTTTATTCTCCAACCGCAGCTAGTTGGATAGCACAGTGATTTAAGTATCTGGCTGTGGAGTCATAGGTTGGGAGTTCGATTCCCCCACTGTGCCTTCCAGAAGAAGACCCAACCTGTATGGCCTTGGGGAAACTGCACAATGCCAAGGCGCCCCCTAGAGGAAGGGAATGTTAAATCACTTCTAAGTATTCTCTACTTAGAAAACTCTGGAAAGGGTTGCCATAAGTCAGAATCGACTTGAAGGCATGCAGCTGCTGCTATTCTTATTCTTATCATCATCATCAACAACAACAGCCTGTAATTAATTCAGGGAAGAACGTGGGGATTGATTGTGAACACATTTGAGAGTCTCTTGAGCAAGAACAGCATTCTGTTGGACGATCCTTCCAGAAACACCGTTGGATGGCTCCTGGTGTCAATGAAGAAGACTGAGTGGATTCTGAATGACATCAGCCTTAGTGGACTTAACGGCATGTTTAGATTTTAATTTAAACTCAAAGCCTACTTAGATGACCATTTTTAAGTGGAATGGTTATGATGAAGTGAGCATTATTTATCATATGTTCATTTCACCCGAATGGAATCTGTCTTCAAGTGGCAAATCACTCATGTTTCAATGCTAATTAGATTTAAAAAGTAAAAATAGTTTGGAATATGGGGAAGAACACATCCAGAGCAGTTAGCTAGATAAGCATCTCTTAACCTTTTCTTTACCGACGACCCCCTTTACGTATATTTTTTGCCACAGATCACCAAGACTTAACTCAAGATTTAAAATCCTGAAGTGCACCAAATATTTATTTAAAGTTTCTCATGAAGGGCTTCAAATTTTGAGGTGGTTTTGTTAGCAAAAATCAAAGAAGAAACATGATTACAAACTTTATCTGGACACTGACACTGACTGACTTCGACTTTCTTTCCACAGCTTCTGATCATCTGTGTAGAAGCAAGAAATGTCACATGCTCTCTCTCAGCCACTCAGTGTCATTCACTCGCATGTTCTCACCATGTGCAGAAACATCAAACAGTTATTTGCTATAAAAGAGTTCACATAACTGATTTTCACTTTTGTTTGTTTTCAATGGAGGTGATAGTTTAGAAAAGTCATTTTTTCCCACAAAGATGCAAGGGAAATTAAGATTCCTTCCTTCCCTCCCTTCCTCCTTTCCTTCCCTCCCTCCCTCCCTCCTTTCCTTCCTTCCTGCAAAATATATAACATTTCTTCAAGCCTCCCCAGACCACAGGTTAAGAACCTTATAACATTTCTTCAAGCCTTCTCAGACTATGAGGACATCATGATCCCCTGGGGGTCCCCAGACCACAGGTTAAGAACTTATGAAGTAGAGTATAAATATCCTGCAAAAAGCAGACTTACTATCTTGTGCAGTATAAAACACTTTCCCATATCTTCCTAAGGACAGAGAGTCAAACTGGATTGTTTTTCTTCTCAACCATCTATAGTTATACTACAAATATATATGCAAATAAATATATGCACACAAACGCCACCTTTCACCCAGCAAAACAGATACCAAATCCCTGTAGCCTGAAATGCATGAATAGAGATGAAAACAAGAAGAACATGCAGGTCCAATTGGAAATGAAGCATTCAGACACATATTGAGCTAATTTGTTAGACAGAGAACCACATACTCAAAGACGGAGTTCAGTTGAAGGGGAAGGCTAGGCACCATATAAAAACAAATGGTGGCTGGATTAAGAACTCCGGCAGTCACACTTGGAATCAGATTCTCTCTTAAAAATATAAATATTGAGCTCTCCAGCCTGGCATAACTGAGTGCCCACAAAGGCGTAATGTATCACCATCGAATGGGATAATAAGCAATCCATCTTAACAATGGAATTAGAATTCTGACCTAATTCTCTCCCAGTAGGGTTCATTGCAACCCTATAAATAACTCATAAATATCACACACACTGAGAAGGAATAGATTAACTGAATAAACACAAGCGATAGAGCATTTTCAGACCCCCTGTGGCTCATGCTATCTCCAGGGGGAATGGAGCATACAGGAGCATGAGGATGGGGAGAAGTGGAAAATTCTTATCTCCAAACCCGGTTTCCTCATCTTGCCGCCAGAGGTAAGTGGCAGTTCCTGCCTCGCATGGCTTAGGTGTTGCTGGGCTCTTCAAAGAGTGCTTGTTCATAACTCTTGAATTCTACTTCAAGGCAGTGTTTTTTAGAGTGTACTCCAGGAAGTCTTAGGTTCTGAAGCTTGGCGTGGGGTGGGCTCCTCATTGATAAGAAGAGATCTGCAACAGCTCTTTTAAGGGGGTTGGAAAAGCTTTTTATAGCAGGCTGCTGCTCATTCACCTTGTTTTCCCAACTGAGCATGCGCAGTAGAAGGTCAGGCTGCTTCACATGCATTTACACCAATTCTGGGATGGCTCTGCTGTTAGACAAGACACGTATCCCAATGCTTTAATGTTTGCTTGCTTTTAATGGTTCAACTGTATTTTAAATTAATTTGTGTTTAGTTTGATTGTTTTGTAACATTTATTCTTTTTAATACTGTGAGCTGTCTTGGGTCCTGTTATCACGAGAAAGAAGGCTTATAAATAAAACAAACAAACAAATAATTAAAAAATAAAATCCATGATGGGGGTTTGCCATGTTTCTGTACTGCTTTCTCCCTGGCCAAACAGGACGTTTGAGTTTCCAAAGAAGGCAATAGGAGGTGTAAACGCAGGCTGTTTGAAAACACCACCACCTCATGGGGTTTGCAACCTGCATTTTTAAACTCATCTTTGAGAAGCAGACCTGGCCCAGACACCTGCCAATAATTTGGAGGACTTCCACACATTTATTTTTTTTCATGCACTATCCACAAAATGTTGGCACACAGCCAGATAGATTATGACTGGTTTTGGTCGAAAGCTAGTCCTTTGGTTAATTTTATTAGAGGTCCAATAAAAGGTTTCACCTTTTGATGCCAGGAAAGCACAGTAGCCAGGAATTAGGCAGTGGCAACCGACCCATTAAAGACATCTCATCCTGCAGCTATGCCCACCCAACACTCTCCAACAACAAGAGGCAAGGATGGCCAGCCTTGGATGCTACAGCTCTGGCCTTCCATTGTAGCAGAGGTCACAATTCTGAGCATCTTGGGCATCTACCAATCCGTACCTATCCTGCTACCTGTCCCATTTCCACGGCTAAAGTAACATCCCATTGCCAACTCAGATGGCTTCTACCCACAGAAAGGAAATGAAGACAGGAACATAGGAGCTGCTTTCTCCGGCTCAACCCAGTGGTTCATCTAAGCAAGCACTGTCAGGATTGACGGTCACCTGCCAGTTGTCTGGAGTTCTGGATGTTATCTTTTCCTAGTCCTGAGAAACCCAAGGGCTGGAGACTCAAGAAATTTAACATGGGACTCCCCTTGTGCAAAGGACATGCTCTACCATGAGGAAGGACCCTTCCAAAGGCCATTTGGTTCTTTGCTTCAGGCTTTAAAATATCTTGGGCTGAGCTGATCCTGAATAATCCAAGGAACTGAAAGCATTTATAGCAGGCAGCATGAGTCTCAAAAGGGAGCAAGAGTGAGCTGTAATGCTGTTTTAAGGGATTATTACATTTCCCTGCTTCTTTTCCCTCCCCTTCACAGTGCAGAAAGCCATGAAGAGACAAAAGTAAAAGTCTCTTACTTTTAGACAGAAGCCTCTTTTATTATGTGTCTTTTATCTTTTGCATGTTTGGCAGGGGAGACATTATTGAAGCAAATGTTAAGCACTAGGGAGTTAACAGAATGAAGACTTCTGCTTTTTTTTAAATTTCTGTTCCCCTCCTCTTCCTATGATCATATATTGTTCAGATGCATTTGCTGTGTGATATCCATATTTCAGAATAGTCTCAGGTTCTCCAGAGGACCAGCCCTTGGCCCTCTACAGGAAAGATGTGCTGGGGGTGGGGGTGGGGAAGTCAAGTGACTTTTTCACAAAGAAGAATGAGGTCAATTTAATTTATTTATTAGAATATATTTATACCACCCAATTTAATGACATGCACTACTTTAGGTGGTCAACAATAAATATAAGGAAATCAACTCTCTCAAACTGGACATGCCACCATAGCTAAAGGTTCCCCTTGACATTTAGTCCAGTCGTGTCTAACTCTAGAGTGTGGTGCTCATCCCCGTTTTCAAGCCGAAGAACCAGCGTTTTGTCCAAAGACAGTTTCCGTGGTCACGTGGCCAGCGCGACTAGACACGGAACGCCGTTACCTTCCCACCGTGGTGGTGCCTATTTATCTACTTGTATTTACATGCTTTCAAACTGCTAGGCTGGCAG